AAATTACCAACAAGTCCTTCTAATTGGACGTAATTCCCATTAAATCCTATCAATTCGTTGTTGAAAGTTGATCCTATCAACATTGTCGCTAAAAATCATGATTAGTGACTTTTTTGTAACGATTTTTTAATCTATTGCTAAAAACTAACAATGAATGACATTTTATGTGACGATTTTCTAAATCCATCGTTCAAAATTGACAATTAGCGACTTTTTGTGATAATTTTTTCAAATTGTTGCTAAAAACTAACAATTCGTGACGTTCTTTTTTTTTCTTTTTTTATAAAAACGCCGTTAATTATCACATGACCTATATTGGGCAATAAATCTATCTACTAAGACATGAACGTAAATCTCCCAAAATGTAATTATCCCTCAAAATTATTCAGAGAGAATGGAACCATGCTTAAAATTTTCCAAAACTAGCTTCATAGATGAGATACCTTTCTAGGCCTACTAGCTACAGCATTATAGATTTGTGATAGAAACAAACACAACATATGCACCAACTTGAACTAAAACAGAGAAACAAATGCAAAGGGAGGTTGAAACTGCACAAGTGTGTTGCCCTTTTTATGGGTGACTAAATAAGTGGGTTAAAGCGGAATGAGAGAGTTAAAACACTTGACAATGCTCTTTTTACGCAACCATAGTTTTTGGTAGGAAGAGGCATAGAAAGAGCAGGCACTATAACATGATTAGAAGATTTCAAAAGATTTGCCACAATTGCTTAATGACATAATATGATGTATTAAAAGTAAACCTAAAACAAAGAAGAAAAATTAAATGAGCACCATTCCTAGCCTCTACCTCATTGTACTGCTACAAGTAACTAATTTCCTACTAAGGTCGCTGCTACCATTTGAACAAGCTAAATTGATCGCCACGTTCTACAAGATTCTCACCTGTGGAATCTGAGCCACTTCCAATTGTGTTATCTGAACTATCATCTGGAAAGAGTTGTATCCTGTCAGCATGCTTAATAATCCAATCAGTGAACTTTGGAGAGGATGCCAACTCAGCCACAGCATGTCAGGTTGATTCCTGTGTGAAATTCTCCCACTCTTTTTTTGAAAACTTCCTTCTGTTTGGTGTCCTACGGAATGTTGAATAGCAATCCAGTTGATTTCTCATCACCCTCCCAGTTGTCGGAGAAATCATACCTGCAACAGCCAAAAGCAAACTAATGAATCATGAATTGAAGGTCAATACCAATGCTATATATAGTATAATTTACATGAGTACCATTGTACTTTATAGACATTTTTGGAAAGAGAGAGTGCCCGCATGAAACATCCTCAACAAGATTAATCCTCCCAACCAAAAACCTACTTTGTTCATTTCATTTTTATTATGATTACAATATCATGGTCAAAACCAAACCATGAAGAATGAACAGTAGATATAGGAGCTCCGAAACTGACACCATATCAAGCAACACAAGCCAATAAATGTCACAAACACGAAATATCTCAAAAGAAACTGAATATTTACCTTGCCAAGTCAAGCATGAACCCCACTTCTAATATACAAAAAAGAAAACTGTTGTAGAGAAAAAGATATAAAGAAAGTAGGAACAGTTTTAAAGAAACGCTTATTGTTCGTTAATCTTTAATTCCCAATTTGTGCAACTACTAATGCACAAATTTGGATAAATATATTAAAAATGTAGACTTCTCCCCATCAAAATATTTCTTGTTCATGTCCTAGTGTGTCTACATCCAATTTTGCTAAAAATTTCACATCATACATCTCATTTAATGCACCATGCTCCATAAAAACCATCATACAGACTTCATTAGGATAGAGAAACATAATTTTGTGGTTATTCATGAAACATACATTGAAAGGGACTATCGAATTGCATGCCTACATTTAACCATCATGTTGCAGTCCAGACAGGTGATGATGTATCCTCAACTCAATTCTTTAAATCACTTATAATCTCAATTGAAAGCCAAGATAGAACAAAGTATAAACATTTCAAGATTAAAGCTCATAATCTTAAAATCAACACAACAATTACTTAATTAGAGCTAGCACTGACTGAAACTGCTAGCCTAACAAACACATCAGCAATAAATGGCATCAGGTTGAACAAAGTTTATAAGCAAGTCAACACCAGGTTACCCATCTTGAACCTAAATGAAATTGGGAACAGTGTGGGCTCACCACCAGACCACTTCATAATCACCACTACTTATACCTCATCATTTTAGGCATAGATAACCTTATGATCCCTATACAATTTACTCGAATACATCTTTCTAAGGTAAGGAACACTAAAAATTATCACAAACAAATCTGACTACAGAATCCCAAACAAAGTTTCATAAGCAGGTCAGCACCAGGTTACTGGCTTTGAACCTAAATGATGTTGGGATGGGTTTGGCCTTACCACCAGACCATTTCAATATCAGTATCACTTATATCTTATCATTTTAGGCATAGATAACCATCTGATCCCTGTGGAGTTTACTCGAATACTCTCTCTTACCATACCAATTTAACCACAATCTCAGAAACCCAACTAAACACTCTCTTTCACCACTCTCTCACTCAACCAGACACTACTGCCACCACCATACATTCTGTAATAAACAATAAACACAGCTACCACAATCTTTTGCTTTCTCTCGTCCAAAAAACCTCCACAACTTATTACTTTCTTTGTACAGATATTTCTAGTGACGGCAATAACCACATACAAGGGGAAAGAAAGAAATTAAAGAGGGATAAAGGAAGACTAGGAAATCTCTTGAGAGAGGAAACTTGTTTCCCTATAAACTCATTTCGGGAACGGACACAGAACTCTCATGAAACTTTAAGGAAAACCTCTAAAAAACATCTCCAAAACAATCCAAGAATTCAAGTACAATTTACACATGAAAGGAAAAACTCCAACTCAATTTGAATAACCTTGCAAGAAACTCTTTCAAACAAATGTTTTAAAAACTCCCTAGAAATGCACTTCTCATAATTTTTACTATCTTTGTATAATCGCAAATACTATTTTTCAACAACAATATATGATTGCTCTAGTAGTAGTAGTAGTAGTAGTAGTAGTAGTAGTAGTAGTGGTGGTGGTGTTTTAATTGATCATGAAAATATAAAAATAATTTACATTGCTATTTTTAAGTTTCTCAATAAATTTTTCTTACAAATATCCTATTCAAACTTTCCTCTTTTTTTTATTCAACCTATTCAATCTTTACATCACCTACATTTTCCATAATATTTTTGGATGAAGTTTCAGTTTCTGTTTCCCGCTTCCAAACCAATCCAATCTAAGCATTGTTTCCCAATCTACATCAATCATTTTTTGCCATTTTGCTCTATCAATGGCTACAAGTTCAAATAAATTAAATACATTCATATCTTTTTTTACAACTATATCCCATGTTAGTTTAAGTCCTCTTCCCACAACATTTTATTTATAGAAATCATATCACTCTTCCTTGTCGTTGCGTCTACATTTCTTCATTGTAAATGACCAAACCATCTTAACATATTCTCTCTCAACTTATCTTTCAATCAGTGTTACTCCTACCATTTCAAGAATATATTTATTTCTAATTATATCTTTCTTAGTCTTACCACCCATCCATAACTAAACTACACTCATTTTATTGACATGTATTTTAGTTGCCCAATATTTTGTCCCATAAAGCATCATTAGTCTGATAGTTGTTGTTCTATTAAATTCTTCTTTCAATTTTGTTAGAATTCACATAATATGTCAAATGCACTCCCACACTTGAGCCAACCTACTTTAATTCTATGAATCACGTCATTTTCAACCTCACTATCCTTATTAATAATCAAACCTAGGTAACGAAAAAGTTCACTTTGTTATTTCTGATTTTCAATCTCTACTTCTCTATCATTTCTATTTTTATTGTTGCTAAGTCACACTTTGTATATTCAGTTTTATTTTTACTAATTTTAAACCCTTTTAACTTGAGTGCTTCGCTCCATATTTGTAGTTCAGTGTTAATTTCTTCCTTAGTTTCATCTAGAACAATATCATCTGCGAACTATCATCCTAAATGTGTAGTTAATTCATCCATGACCATGGCAAATAGGTAAGGATTCAAAGTTGGCCCATGATGCAATACAATAGTGATTGAGAATTTACTAGTTTCTCCTTCAAGTGATCTAATTGTGGTCGATACCCCATTATACATTCATTTTATTGCAAGCATATATACCTTTTGGTCACACCCTTTTTCACCAACACTCACCATATTATATCCTATGAAGCACGGATACTTCAAAAAGGGAGACGTATTCATATTGTATACGTATTGGATACCGATAATCTTCGGATACTCGCGGATACACATCGGATACTTCTTAAAAGTATTGGATACTTCTTAATTATTTTTTCATTAATTTTGGAGTATCAGATACTTAATTTTGAAGTATCGGATACTTCAAGTCACATATTACTCCCAATGCTTTATTTAGTTATTTGAAAAGAACATAGTGAGAGTTAAAGTAATAAAATTTGTCAAATTAATGTATCATAATTGTTTCATGCATGTCCTCTATAACTACATAGATAGTTGAAAAAACTAGAAATCCCCTAGATATTGATTTGTGATTATGTATCAATTTTAATCAGCAAACAACAATCACAATCAAACAATCAAAGACAAATCAACACAACTATTTTACGTGGAAAAACTACAATTGGAGCGCCTCCAATTGTGATAAAAAACCACGGGCAAAAGCCACAAAACAATCCACTAAAAAAACATAAAGGAATTACACAGGTATACTCTCAATTACCTAGCGAATCCACGCCCAAAGTGAACCAACCCTTATGTGCCTCTTCTAGCCCCGTCTTCATCTCGGAATTGTCTTGCCCAACGTTGAATCCACAATGCCGATGTCGAATCACGACGATGAGCCACTCCAGAATCCACCAAAACTTCAGGCTCAAATTCTCCATAATCCACCGAAGAACAACACTCTTGAATATGAACAATCAACCTCCTTGATGTGTGCTTATCAAAACATGAGTCTAATACTCAATCAAAACATCAAGGAAAACTAGTAAAAAAACCCAAAAACCTTAAAGAAGATCTCAAAAACGTAATCCTAGTTTTGGACTAAAACAAGTGCTTATAGAAAACAGGGACTGCGAAGCTCACTCGAGCGAAGACTCTCTCGCTCGAGCGAGGAAACAAAAACCCGTGTTTTCCTCAAGAGGCGTCACTCGAGCCAAGCTTTTGTCACTCAAACGTACAATCTTCCTTCTCAGGTTTTTGGTAAATAGACGCAGCTTCTGAAAGCAAGACTTCTTCACTCGAGCACACACTCCTTCGCTCAAGCGACCAAACAACTTTGAATGCATTTTTGCATTTTGCTTCGGGGGCACTACCCCTCGACCCTGCCTGGGTGCTGCCCCGACCCGCCAAGGAGCGCTGCCCCTTGGGCCCCCGCGAGCTGACTGGGCAGCTCAATCCCCGTCATAGTCGGCGAAGTGGCAATCATGAAAGAATTAGCACCACAAACTTCCCTACAAGGCACAATTCGGGTTGGATTCGCATCTAAAAACTCATAGCCTCACTGAAATAAAAAGTGCGAATACAAGTACAACTGAAAGGAGTTTTGTCAAACGGGATTGCCAAGAATAAAACCTAACAATCTCCCCATTTGGCAATGCCGTGACAAAACACACCTAACAAATAAAATCCTAATCACCCCAACCCATTACAGCCAACAAAAGCAAACTTCTTTCTCAAGGTCAAGATCTGCAAAACAACTATTAATGCCACAATCTCCAAAACAACTATTTGTGCCACAAGAGTATATGAAAAAGTAATAGACATATGACAAGATTATCTTGAAGCATGATATGAAAAACATGAATAGATGCGACTTAGAGATTTTAAGAACATGTAACATGAATAGATGAAAACTAAGACACATGCACCCGACCTACCCATGGCATGAATACATGAAATCCTAAAAAAAGACATTTACAGTAAAGATTAACAAGAGAATAAAACAATAGTAAAATTAATAAATTAACAAATAAATAAGCAAGTAAACTTGAATCCAATATTTTTACTAGTGCGAAAAGAGAAAGCATAGAAACACGTTGTGGATTGCTCTATTAGTGTAATATAAACATATTAAACTCGACATTAAAATAAAATATTCACAAGACCTATTGAAAATTTAAAAAGCAAACAAGCTATTGTCTAATATTAATACCTAATTTTCAAAGATTAGTGTTTTGCATTATAAAATTACAATGTGATCTCTTAGCATTCTTAAGCTTATGTGTAACTCCGACTAATAAATTTTTTTTTTAAATATATTTTTTACAAACGTATTCTAGCCGTACCCGAATCCTACTTTTTAGGTTTTGTCGTATCGCCATATCCGTATCTCGTATCCATATTCATGCTTCCTAGATTATATCTCTAGGCACCCTATCGCAAGTTTTTTTTTTTTTTTGAAAATCTATAAAACCCATATTTAGATCCTTCATCTTCTCTTTTTTGTACTTCTCTATTAATCTTCTTAGTAAAAATAGTGTTTCAAATCCAAAGAGATTCTCTAACACTATTGTTATAACTCTCAAGTGATGCTCAATCATTCTCACCAACAATTTTATCGTATTGACTTATCAACTTAATGTCTCTATAATTGTTGCAATTTTGGATATTTCATTTATTTCTATATATAGGTATTAAAATACTGTCTCTACTCGTCAGCCATTTTCCTAGTCATTAGAATCTTATTAAAGAATTTTGTTAACCAGACAACCACTTACCTACGCATTTCCAAGCCTCAATAGGGATACAATCTAATCCTAATGCCTTGCCATATTTATTTATTTATTTGATTATTTTTATTTTTTGATAAATCTAATGCCTTGCCTGATTTCATCCTTTTTTAATGCAAATTCCACCTCAAACTCTCGTAGTTCGTTGATAAAACTATATTCTCTAGTTCCATCAAGGCTATTATATTCCTCTCCTTCCAAGTTTTTAAAATGATTTCCACTGAACAATTTCTCAAAATATCATTCACTTTTTTTCAATCTCCTCATCCAACCTCCTTATTGGTCAACTTATGTCTTAAAATTATTCCCATTTTTATCCTCTTTCACTATGGCTTATATCTCACTATTCAACCACCAAGTATATTTAGATATAGCAACTTTTCCCTTTGACTCTTCATGGCACTGCTTTTGATATTCTTTCAATGCATTATGCTATTGTATTCCACATGTTATTAGTAACACCTATCAAACCCCATGTTACTTCTTTAAACACTTTATCCTCAATTTCTCATTTAGATTTCACATCTAGTTCAGGAATTTTTAATATATTTCCCGCTTTGATTTTGCTCTTTATTATTGTATATAATACTATATATTGAATATTGCTAGCCTACTTTGTGCCATTAACTTCCTTCGGAAATAACCTCGAAAACCTTTACATATTCAGCGGTCCATTTTTCTTACAAGAAAATGATCTATCCAACTCTTATTTGACCCATTTTTTAAAGTTATGTGTTTAACCCTCCTTTTTTTAAAAGTTGTTGGTTACTACATGATCAAATGCTACTGCGAAATCTAAGATGTTCTCTCCGCCATCATTTCAATCGCCAAAACCATACCCACCATGTATCCTCTCGTGCACTTGCTTATATTTTCAGACATGACCATTGAAATCTCCACATATAATTATTCTCTCCTCTACAAATATTTGTTGTATTAACTCATCCAGTTGATCCCAAAATTTCCTTTTAATATGTTTTTGCAATCCTATTTGGGGTGCATAGGCGCTAAGTATACTCTCCAGTTACAATTTTAATTAATATTATTATGTAACTTATTCTCATAACTATTACTACCTTATTTTTCAGATGCCTACACCATTTCGACATCTTTTTCTTTTTAATCAACAAAATGCCAATTTTTTTTTTTTTTTTTTGATAAATAAATTTTATTGAAGAAGAGCATCAAGAAGATGCTAAAGATACAAAAAGGTCCCCATAAAAAGGAGCGCTAGCCAATTACATCATCAAGGAAATCAAAAAACGTAAACAAATCAAGATCCACACACCCTGACACCCAAGCACACAAGACTCGCAAAAATCTATCTACTAAACAATATTTCCAGCATACAAAATGTTGTACCAAGTTTTTCTATTTAGTTTACTTTCTCAGCTACTCACCTAGTTTCTTGTAAGCATGTTATACTTTCCTTCTAATCATTGAATCTACTAAGTCCATAGTTTTATCTGTCAGTGTTCCCTTTTCCAAGTTGCTAATGTAAACCAACAATCCTGGGCTAATTTCTTTACAGGTGCTCGTCCAAGAAAACATAAGGACCTTTTCCTATTTTTCATTGCACTAAGGCACCGATGTAGTGATCCTTGCCTATTTTCAAAACATGTTGCTTACAGAAAACATCCTAGCCCTTGCATGTTCATGTTCATAAGGGATCTAATGGGGAGTTTTACATGGTAACTATGGAAGTGATCCATGATGTGAAAGGAAAATAAGAGGGAAATAAAATGCTCTGCAGAAGCTTAAATCTTTTTAGAAAAAATGTTTCAACAGACGAAACAAATATTAGGGAGAGAAAATGCAGATTTTAACAAAAGTGTGTACCTTTAACAGGAGAGTCAGACCAACCAGAAGATCTCCTTGAGCTGTTCCACAGTGTTCCCCGTGAACCCACCATCCCTGACCTGCTGAGAAATTCAGCACGATTTTGTCTTACATTTGCTCATCCTCTAACCCGCCAAGGATTCCCATTTGCAGAATAAATTGAATTCCCAGAAGTAATGGTAGAACTACATACAAATAATTAGTTAAGATCTTGTTATCAACTGAGCAGATCTCTCTTCAATCTATAATCATGACCATTTATATATTAAATCAAGCATACCACCCATTTTGACTAATCCAAAATGGATTTCAACATCCCAACAGATAAACTCAAAAAGCAAATAAGACCTATTTGTTTTTGATTTAATAAGTTGAATAAATTGAGTTAAGCATCAATTATATGAACATTTATTTGGTATAATAATTACCAGTCCGCCAGCATGATGCAAGGGGAGAGTAGGGAAAAAATGGTGCAAGTAACTTACTCTAGACCATTCCACTTGAAGGAAGTGATAAGAAAGCAGATTGACAAACAAGAAGCCAATGCCCCCATTGCCAAAGGAGTATCAAGAGTACTCTGACAGAATAAGAATAAAAAATTCAGGAATGCAAAGCAAATTGCACACTGATTTCCGTTTGGTCCAGAGATATGCAAGTGGAGCGTTATCACACTATTTATTAACATGAACACAATAGCCACCTGGAAGATAAATGTGGCTGCAATGACGCGCATGGCCCATTTCACGAATTGAGCTATGCCAACATCCACACTTCCATCTTCTGCAATAACAAATTTCCGCACCATCCAATACCCTAGGGCAGCTCCTGCAATGACAATCCCAAGTAGTACAAAAATAGAAACATGTAACCAAACAAGGTAAATAGTTTAAACAAATAAAGGACATAGTTGAAAACTGAATCTGTAATAAAAAAACGCTAATTCTATGGTCTTCCAGTTATGAAGCCATTTGGTCTTGATTATGAATCATGTAATTACTTGTGAGGCTTTGTGGTTGTCAAACTTGGGGTGATTGGTTATGAACTTGGTTATGAGGCTTTGTGGCTATGAACAGAAGTGGCCTAGGTTATGAGGCTTTGTGGTGTTTTTGGTTATGAACCAAATTGTTTATGAATCTTTGTGACTGAAATTTTGAGCGCATGCCATATGCACCATTTTTCCTTTTCAAAAAACAATAAAAATGAGATTCAAGTCATAGTAGAAGAAAATAAATGTTTTAAAAGTGGCCAAAAATGACAAAATTTTTAATAGATGTAAGTGGGCTAACTCAGAGATAATAAGGACAGTTAAAGGTGCTAGATGATGCTTTTTATACAAGATCAGACATAATCAATTTCTATATTATTGATTTTTATTAGATAAAAGAAATGCACTAAATTGAGAGAAGCGATGAAAGTTTCAGCAAGGAGAGTCACTCTTTAGCTACGTTACATGGACTCGTGTACGAGTGTCGGGTGTAGATAGGTATCTAGGGGTTGGACTCAGCAAACCTCTAAATGAGGGATACGCAGGTACGTCTAAAAGGTATCCAAAAATTAGACACGGGTACGTGGATACGGCCAAACATGGATGTGTTAAAAAAATATTATGTATTTTTCTAATAAAGTTAGAATAATTTATGGCTCATAATGATTACATATTTTTATGATGATGCTACACATTTGTAGCTAAAAAATATTGGATAAAAATAAATATAACGTTATTTTTAAAAAAATGAATAATTGATTTTCCATGGATATAAGTTAAATCCCAACTTAATTAGTATTAGGCCCAAACATGAGAAGCTCATGTAAAAGCCAGCCAGCCTAATAACCTTGTAATTTTTATTATAAGGCCCTTTTTATTAACAGACCAAAGTGCATCCTAAATAAGCCCAAATGCACCAAACCCTTTAATATAACCCTAGCAACCATCAACAAAGATGAATACAGAAGACGAAGATGATGAACAACGACGACGATGAGGTTGCAAGCCATGTTTCTCTCCTCCTCCTCCTTTGTTGCTGCCGTGAAAAATAGAAAAGAAAACCAACCGTATCTGTTTGTATTTAACTGTATTCCCCACCTGTACTCGTGTCGTGTCGTGTCGTGTTGACATGGGTACCTCTCAAAATTCAAACAGTCCGTGTAACGTAACTCTTTAGTTCAAATGGTCTAAGATTGTCCTTGAAGAGGAAGATGATAGAGATGGAGATGGTGACTTCCTGATGCTAAGAGAGAGAAGGCATAACTTGAATCACTAGGTCAGACTGAAGCATGAGAAGTTAGATTGGTTGTGTGAAGTCCTTAACCAACTAATGGGTAGCGAAGGTGAGACCGATTTTACAGAAGGATTTTGTGACAAGGTAGTAGTATGGATGTTAGTTCCTTCATACTGAAGGGGGAGGTTCCTTTGCATTTTGGTTGGTAAAGGTAGGAAATCGTGGTCTTCTTGCCAAAAAATAAAGGGCGTCCTCTTTGAGGGATATGGCTAATAAGTTGTCGAAACTAAAGCTGCAGAAGGAACCAGCCGAGGTGAAAGAGGTTGATCCTTTATGCAGGTGCCTGAAATGGTGTATTGGCCACCAAATCAAAGCCCTTCCAGACTAAGGTTGCAAGGGGAAAACAGAGTAGTGAATTCTATTAATGCCAAGAAAACCGTACATTTTGTTGCCATCAAAAGAGGAGGCGAAAAGGGGTTTTGAATGAAAAAAGTTTAGTTTTTCTGATTGGTGGTCTCTGATGGAAGAGTGTTGTCATGGAAATGGTGGTCCAAAGGCCATTTGGGTTCGCTTCCTAGGCTGTCACTACACCTATAGAACGAGGAGGTTGTTAAGGTGTTTGTGGAAGTGTTCTAAGGGTTGACAAAGACACAAGAAAAGATGTCAATATAGTTGGGCTAGGCTTCTTATCGAAGATTACACAAGACCATTTCTGATGATTATAATAGTGGAGGTAAATCCTTGGCTTTTGAGATCCCTCTTTGGATGAAATCGGGGTCTTCAAGTGCATGATAGTCGAAGGTCAGCGTACCTACAATGATTGGAGGTGGTCGCGTTGACCGAACAAGGAGGATAATGGAGGGTCACACGTGGTCAATACATGGGTTTGCTTGGCAAAAAGGCCTGCATTGTTAGTGCATAACAATTGTCATCTAGTTCAAATATGAATAGACAAAAAGACAAGAAAGTGCTATAGGTAAGGGTGTTCACGGGTCGAGTCGGCCCGGGTTTGTCCATAACCATTACCTGAACCGACTGTAAGCCTGGGAAATTTCAGCAAATTACAAATTGCCACGTACTACAAAGGCCTACAAAATATGGCACAATTATTGGCAAATTAAATCTTGCCACGTGTCTAATTGGTCTCAAATCAAGATTACATGGTGGTCAAATTAAATATTGCAATGTGTTAAAATGATGCAATAAGTCTTTGACTAATCAAATTAAGTCATAGTGATGCAGCAAATAAGTTTTTGACTAATCAAATTAAGCCACTTGTCACATTGAGATGGTCAAGCAAATAAAATTATGGCACACCATTAAAGTGAGATTTTGGTATTTATCTCTAAATAAATCAGAGATAATTATCAAAGAAGTTGAAGTCTATTAAGACTCCTCCATCCATTCCTATAACTAAGGGTGATCTCCACTAGAATTTTTCATTCAAATTCTATATACATAAATCAAGTTGTAGAAACAAAAATTTACATCAAGCAAGAGAAAGCTCCACCAGATTCAAGCCTAAAGCCCCGAGGTTTCTTCACCAAAGCCGATCAATCTCCATAAAACATAAAGTTCGGAGATTCAAATCAAAGTTCGTCATCAAACTCTACAAATCTATAGTCGTCTTCTACTAAATTAGAGGGGATTCTACAAATCTGATTTGGGAAAATGCTATCAAGCCCTCAAATCAAAGTTCTACAAAGTCGCCGTCTTCTTCGCGTTACTTGGAGGAGATTTCGCCGCTCAATTCGGGAACAAGCTATCAAGCCCTCGAATCAACTTATTGAAGAGAAAAATCAGGGGATTTTCTTTGATTAAAAATTTCATACGAGATTGTACTCACTTTATTTTGAATCAATAAATTTATATTTGTTACTCTATTTTTCTGTCTTTATTTTTGCAGACAAGAAATTTGTGTATACACCGACCATTTGGGATTCCAAAACTGACCATCTGATTTTGACCGAATCTCCTTTCAAAATCAACCGATTTTCTTCCTCCAGTTTAAATGTTGGTTTTGGTCGGCTTCAAGACCCGCATACTCTCTCTGCACATACGCAGATCTAAGAAAAACGAAAAGAGTTGAGCAGCAACACTATTTGATCTGACCCAAATCAACCTCAACCATTTGATGAATACATAAAAATCACAAATTAGAGAGGGAGAGCAGTGATGGAGATCTGAGTGTAGGGGATTTTAAAGGGAGGGTTTAAAAAATAATGCAAAGAACACCAAGTCAATATGCTTCAATACCTTAGTTTCTACAAGTATAACATTTGGGTTCTTCCTTTGATTGCATCGTTGTGAGAGAGAGAGAGAGAGAGAGATATGAGATGCAGGTTAGAGAGGGATTGTGTATGTGTTAGATGTAGAACGAGAATGAAAAAGAAAGAAAAAATTAAACAATACTATTTAAGGAGAGAGAGAGAGAGAATTAAATAATACCATTTAAGAAGCAAAAGAGAATGATAGATTTTAAATATGAGTCGATTGAGAATAAAGAGAAACAGTAGAGTCATTTAAAAAGAAAGAGAATGAAATAGTATTTAAAAATTAAGAAGATAAGATGGATGTCAGATTAAGGAGAAAAGATAAAGAGTGTAAGCTCAATTTCCAAGGACACAATGGCACGTGTAATGAATATCCTGTATACATGCACATAAATTGGACGGTTCGGTCCAATCGTTGTTTTTTTTCCATATTCCGAGAGCCAACCGAAAATATAAAAATTCTACACTTCCAACCCACTACCGACTGTGCAACTTCACGAAACTGTCCATAGCATGTCGGGTCGGGTCGGGTTGGTCGGGTGCATTGCGTAAGTTCCCTAGCTATAGGACAGGTGCATGGAGAGAGATGTGCCACATTGCCTAGGTAGAAGGTAGTGGGTCCGGGAAATCCCAACCATTTTGGCTCGAGTAACTGTTGAGTTAAGACAAGAGTAGGTGTGTTCAGGGGTTGGATTGGTTCGGGTTTTCCATTGGCTCGTCACACGAATTGGTCCTTTCAGGTGGGAAGCACAAGCATCCGCCTTCGACCGAACACTAGGAAAAAAACTGGACCAAATGTGTTCGGATTGCAATCGTTTTCGGGCGGGTCTATTGGGTGGTTCATTTTTGTCTATTTTTTTCTTGCAATCAACCACAACCCTAAGAAAAAAATTAATTGTGAAGGCAAGGAAGACCGAAGAGGGAAGGGGGGTGAGAGATGAGACTGCGAAGATTGGATAATGGAGACTAGAGGGATATTGAAGAGTGATAGACGGGATGAGTGTAAGGCAGATCAGCGAAAAAGAATGAAAACCGTCTCCGCCTCTATCTTATCACAGCTTGCCACTACCTCCATCTTGCAACAACAACTTGGCCTACAGTTGTTTGGCATTCATGATGCAACAAGACGGGGAGAAGAGAAACCGTGAGAGATTGCATATTGTAAAAAGATTTTGAGAGACTAAAAGCGATGATCTTCACCTAGGAAGCATGGATGCTGGTATGGATACGGGTACAGATACGATAAGGGTACGCCGATATGTCAAATTCTTAAAAAAGTAAGATACAGATACGGTTGGGATACATCAATTTTTTCTTCTTTTTTTTTTTAATTTATAGCTAAACATCCAACATACAAATCAAAATTTCAA